GAGAGAACCCTATAGACCCCTTACAGGAACCCTAAACCCTAAACCCCAATCCCTAAACCCTTACAGAACCCCTTAGACCCCTTTACAAGCGGCCGCCGAGGAGCTCCCTAAACCCAAGGCCGATCTAGCGGCTCTAGCGCAAACCCCATACTTGGAGGGTCGGGGGACTTAGTAACAAGTTATTTTAGAGACTTATAAGTACCATAACCCCACTTAGGATCCCTTTTAGGGTACTTATAACTCTACTTGTTACCTACTTACTAAGTCCCCCGACCCTCCAAGTAGGCCATGGGCTCCATAGTTGTTCCTTTTTGGGATTACCTTGTAGGACTCTACATATGAACCCCAAAAAGGAACTAGTATGGAGCCTTAGGGTAGCAAAAGCCCAAAAGGTGGAAACCGGATTAAGGCCAAATAGTGCTGGCATTCACTATACATTACTCTCAAGGATTGAGGCTATTGGATTTCCAGCTTTTGGGCTACTACTATAGAGCTGTACGGGGTTTATGGGTTTAGGGTTTTGAATTTAGTGCTCAGAGTTCAAGGGCTCTAGAATTTTCCTTAAGGGTCCCAGTGCCTATGTAATTAATACTAACCTACACCGCTGTCGTATGTAGACCCAAGTACCATCCTTTGGGGTCCTCTGGACCCGTAGGGCTTATAAGTCTACCGATTCTCGGGCAAGTTCATGAAGTTGAGCCATGGTTGTCCTGTGGCAAGGAACTATAAAACAAGCCGGTCTGCGACAATCGTCTTCCCGGGGAACCTTGCATTGAACGGTATCGTAGACCAGGCAGGAACCTGATCAGCGGGCCACGGTCGTTCTTTGAACTCGCTCTCCAAACAGTTTGGTTGCTCGCTGAATTCGTCAAAAGGAAACTCGCCTCCAACTGAGAACTGACGGCCGCAGATGTTGATCCCTGACAGAAAGAGATCTCGAAAGCCTTGGGCGATCTCTGCCAGCAGGCAACCACGAAGTCCAAACAGTAGACGGCGAGTTTAAAATGAATGTCCGGAAAAGTTCGTCCACATTCGTGTCGTCTCGAGGGCCCCGTGCACTCGGTGGTCGGAGGTCAGGCTTCTCGTCTCCAAAGATAGGCAGGTGTTGCATAGCTGCTTATTCAGATTCGTAGGTGCAGGCTCGACTGCAGCAAAAATGTGGAATCTAGCATCGAGAACAGCCCGCCCACTGATTTTTGATCAAACAAAGATTAGGATGAGGTGAGCTCATGGGATGACTCTCGCGGAAGCAAAACACGTTCGACAATTCCGCTGCATTTCGGCAATTCCCTCGAGGTCCATGTGCCCATATAGCATATACTTTGGGCCCAATGTACCTATATAGGGAGTACTTTACGGCCAATGTATGTACTATATGAGTACATGGACCATTGGCAATTCGGCAAATGGGCATTGCGATGAAATCCGGCAATGGAAATTCTGAAGCTCGCGGCTGCTGGGGCCGCGTCGTCCACTCCCCATGCGCGGCTTGGCCCAGCCATTCTGGTACATGGATTGGGCACGGCCCGCACTCAGTAATACAGTTGAAATTGAATAATATTCATAATAAAGATATATTAGGACCTTAATAGTAGCCCTATTATAGACTCTTACTGTATGGCGGCAGTACCTAATGCATGGACTTTGTCAGTTGCATCTGGTCTCGGTGATTCGGAGACTTCATTGTTGCATTAACGCCTCCATCGAGAAGTCGTCAGTAACCCTCAGCTAAGATGCCCAACAACAACTCCAAACCACCAGTGCAGAACTCTGTAACGCGCCTTGCGCCAATGCTCAATCAAGGCAGGAACCTAAACACCAAGAAGCTAGACTAGGGTTCCTTTAAAGCGGGCCCTTAAGGGTTGCTGTAAGGAATCTATGAGGGTACTATATAATATAGGGGCCTGAAAAATTAGAAAAGGGTTTTGGGGCCCTTTATATTATAATTGTAGTAGGGAACCCGCAAAATCGTATTGGTAAATTTTGAAGCCCCTTGTTTAAACTTTCCAGGCCCTCCGCAAGCCCCTGAACCACTCTACCCGTAGACCCTAGACCCTCAAGCCTATGTAAGTACCGATGTGGAGACTTTTCCCCAAACCATCACCATGATTCATTCATGAACATACATATATATATATATATGTATATGCATATATGTTTAGATATGTGTATATATATATATTAGATTTTATGTGTGTGTGTGTTAGGTACCCACAGCCCAGCAAGAATCTAAACCACTGTCCTAAACCCCAGTCCTGATCTTCCGGCTCAGCCCGCTTCTTCGCCTGTCAGCGAACTCTGAGGAGGGTTTGGGGTTTAGGGGTTTAGGGGTTTCGGATTTAGGGGTTTATAGGGTTTCGGGGTTCATGATTTTAAGGGTTTAGGATTTTAGGGGTTTAGGGGTTTAGGATTTTAGGAGTTTAGGATTTTAGGCGTGTCTAGGCTTTGTACGTCCATGGTACCCTAAAAGGACTTGTACACGGAACCTATCATAATAATAAGAATCACCCTAAAAAAGGTAGCCTTAAGGGTCCAAAAGTCCCAATACTTAGTTACTTGGGTGTGGGATCGCCGCAAAAATGAACTCTTGGGAGAGGCATGGTGTTCATTGTTCCGAGCTGTCGCCGTCGCCTCGCCGAAGCCAGACTCTTCCCGAAGCTTGATTCAGAGTTCGAACGATTCCTCCCCTCCAGCCCGGGTTTAGGGTTTAGGCGGGATTAAGAGGGTTCAGGGGTTCAGACCTACTGACTACTGGCCGTAGCAAGACCAACAATTCACGGATCGCCGCAACGGCAGTGGTCAGAGCGACAAGAAGTGTGATCTTCAGGGGACAGCAGAGCAGTCTGTGGCACGAGTCTCCCGACGTATTCTTCGCGACAAAATACTCCACATCACTCCTAAACAAGTAAACGTTTACCCTAAGGCTCTATGTAGCCATGCAGTCTACACTGAGGCCTCAAAGTACCTATATAGGAACCCCTTTAAGACCCAAGTATATACTATATGGGCACATGGAGCCTTAGGGTTACAGACCCTGTAACCTCACATCTCCTTGCAAGCTCATGTCAACCCCTGCATTACGTCGTTATTCCCTTAGCCTCTCTTCTTCAACAACCGGGCCCAAAAAAGTTCAAACTTTCTAAGATAGAGCTAATCTATAAGGCCAAAAAGTTTAAAGTTCCCCTGTTCACTATCTAAGTAGCTTTTGAGCTGGTGCCTCCTCTTCTGGGTAGAGCGCGCTGAACCCGAGGAACTTGGCCAGATTGACGTAGCGAAGCAGGTTGATCACATGGGTGGACCACTGGACCACTAGGAAGTTCCTGTGATTGATTTAACGTTTCAGTTGCCGGGGCTGCGGCTGTAGTATTCAATGCTTACCTAGAGGCTCCATAGTTATTTCTTTTTAGGTCTCATCATTAGAATCCTATAAAGTAATCCCAAAAGGGAACTACTATGGAGCCTAGGGGTAGGCTTCAGGGTCAGTTCAGGGAGGTAACTGTAGAGCTTTTCTTGGCCTGTCGAAAGCCTCTTCTGTGTTCCTGAACGCAAGGCTGCTCTATGTGGGGTTCGCCACTGAACGACTGAAAACCCGGACTGCAGAGTCAAAGTTGGTTAAGGTTTCCCCAGTAGACCCTCAGAAGAAACGGATCTGCAACAGCTCCGTTTCCATCTTCAGATGCCTGACAAAGCGGCCTTATTCAGAGCAACCCTTTAGGTTCTGCACACTAAATCCTCCAAAATAGTCCTCAACCGCAACATTTACAACCAACCCCTCTCTGAACACACACACACACACACATGCATAAACAAACAGACAGTCACATATACACCGATACATTTTTGTATATATACATACATATATATATATATGTATATATGTATACATAAACAGATACATGTAACATGTACACTTACATATACACATACTCATACATATGCAGATGCATATACATCTATACACATAAAACCATATGCGTGTGTATATACGTATGTGTCTAAAAGGTCTATGTATATACCTCCGCGTATGCACACATACATACACACACACACACATCTATACTTATACTATAAGCATACACACATGCATGCCCATCTGCATCTACATTTACATATACATCAACATACACATACGAATACACGTACACCTACGCCTACACATCCATGTATCCATGTACCCATCCATCCATCCATCCATCCATCCATGCATCCATCCATCCATCCATCCATGCATTGCATGGCTTTGC